AATTTAACCACCTTGCTGTTTAACACATTATATCAAGATGTTTGATGTGACAGGATAAATGTGTTGCATTAGTTTCTTGTCTTCTTTTTGCCGAGTTGTATATAATTCACTGATTTATTCTTTAAGTAAACCGTAAGGGAGCTCAGAATGGAAACAGACCATTGCTCAGCAAGTCTATTATTTCAGGACCACACAAATCCATTTTACCATGAATTTACACCAGCTACTTAATATTGTGGTGTAAGTTTCCATATTCTTTCCAGTTTTCCCATAAGTAATCCAAGCATAAGTTCAAAGGCTTATTTAACCTTTTTACATATCATGGATTCTAGAACATTTCTAGAACTTTTCACAGACACAGCAGTCTATCAGCAATTATTCTGAGTACTATAGCTGCAGACAAATGTCTGTGTAATGCTGTGATCAAGGAAGTGGTGGCAGTGATGGATCATAGCCAATACCCAGAGCCCATTACAGCTACCCTGGACAATGTCAAGTACACCAGCAGAGGCAGAACAAGAAGAGGACAAAAAGATAAACTCTACTTTAGTAATATCTTTTAATACATTCAGCAATTCAAAATGGCAAATGTCGCCGGAGTGTGGCGATACTGCAATTTACGCTGCATTCTTTTTTGAAATACATGTGACAATAAATCATTGATTTCAATAATGTCCATACACATTAGGAATTTTTTGACTGCAGAGCATCTTGGCCTGCCACACCTGAAAAGTCAACTCTGGGAAACTTCAATTGACTGCAGATGGGATTTCCACTTCTCACTTGGGAAGACAGTTGAGCCCAACCTGAATGACCAGCAGCTCTGTTGCCCCAGAAACATATTAGCCAGGACTAAGATTGCAAGAAATCCTCAGATTCTAAACTCTTGAGTTCATGATCATTTAAGTGTTTGTGGTGGTGGGGGGTGTTCTATTTCACAGTAAGAAGGAAGGTGAAGCCTCTCAGGAATGGGTAAGGACAGTGCAGGTTTCATTGGAGAGACTGGGAGGTGGGAGGGAGGACCTGCACAGGGCAGACCTGATGTGGGTTGCACAATGTGCAAAGGAGACTGTAGAAGGAAATGCTCCTCACCCTATTTTCTGCCCAAGGACTGAGCAAAGTGACTTTCTGTGCTTCCCTACCCTGTTCCTAAACTCATCCCATGCTGGATAGGAATAGGCCCTTAAGTGGGGTCATTTATTACCGACTGAAGGGCTTCAATTGTGGTAAGCATGGCTCACCCATTCCAATGTAAACTGCAGAGATGTTGGCATGGGCAGGAGGGCAATCTGGAGAATTTTACAAGCCAATCTGCAAACCCATTGATGGTTTGGAATGCAAGTTCTGCCTATGGTAAAACCATAGGTTTTACCATTTTATGTGCAATCATATTATGGTTGCAAAATCATTATCATTAAGGTAATGTACAACATGCTGGGCATCAGCAATAGTTCAACTGTTGTCATTTTTCTCATGGTTTGAACCTAGATTGAAATGCAATCACGTAGTAAGGTCTAACCTAATCTGTAGTCATGTGACTTCTCCAATGAGGTGCACACTTGCAAAGGCTAAAATCTTCACCACGGGATTTGCAAAGAATGGTTACTGTCAAGTAGGGCAGGATCAAAGCACAGCTTTCTAACTAAATTCTAGTGTCATTTGATACATTCACTGTTCCTGAAGAGCAATAATGCAGACAACATGAGATAGTTAGTGATCTCAGAGTGAAAGCTATAGTGAATGATCTGCTGGTTTATGAATGTGGAGAAACAATGGAAGAAGCCATTGCTGACCAAGGCCAAATCCTAGTGTGACTGCTCAACAGAGCTTGCCAAGTGAATGAGGCTGAATAAAAAAAATTACAACTAAACATGCCGACAAACAGGTGCATAGGTCATCTACTGACAGTAAAATGTCCTAAGCAGTTTGGCAATTTGTTGGTTTTGTCAACTATTTGGCAAAATCTTCACAGTTTGATGTTAGAGTGTGAACTGTGCCGACTCACAGACAAGAACATGCAGTGGTAATGGGGCACAGAACAAGATGTAGCATTCACTAAAATCAAGCAGCTAGTGACAGCAACACAAGTGCTGAAATATTACGATGTAAATGATGAAGTCCCCCTGCAGAGTCACACCACTGAGACAGGACCTGGAACAACCCTAAAATAGAAACGTCAACTTGTTGCTTTTGGATCCAGGGTGCTAATACAAACAGAAAGATGTTAAGCCCAAATCCAGAAAAAGTGCCTAACCATTGTCTTTGTTCATGAACATTTTCATTAACACCTACTTGAAGGACCCAATTGACAGTCAAATCTGACCACAAGCCAGTTCAAAGCATTTTCTTCAAACTGCAATAGTCTACTCCAAAGCATCTGCAAAAATTGTTACTCCAGTTCGAGGTATCATGCGGATGTGACATACAAGCAAAGGAACCAGATGCAAGTTGCAAATATATTGTTGACACCAGCTCTGTCATTGAAGAAAGTGGAAGATCTAAAACAGAATATAATATCTTCCAGGTTCATTGTGAATCAGCAGCTCACCATGCTCTGGAAGTCATCAAGCCAGCAGAGACACTAAATATAATAGACAAGTGCTTTGCTTAAATCAACCAAAATATCCAAAATATCCAAAATCTCCAAATGTTTCATAAAGTAGTGATAAAAGGATAGGCAGACAGCATCAAGGGCACACCTGTTGCTACACGAGCAAATTGGGCAAATAGAGATGAATTGACAACCCCATTGACAGATGGCATATTGTATAAAGGAGATAGACCAATTATTCTGAAGGAACTGATGAGACAGTTTCGAAAGAACATCTGTGCAAGCTATCAAGGAACTGAATCAAGTCTGAGGGAGGCAAGAGATGTGCTTCGCTAGCCAAACGTGAGCAACAAAATCAAGGACTGTGTCAGCCAGTGCAATATTGAAATGAGAACCAAATTAAGCAAGAAAGAGAGCCACCGAGGACACATGACATCCTAGACAGACCATGGATGAAGCTCGGAGTAGATCTTTGCACACTTGCAGGAACAGATGATCTTATCACAGTCAACTACTATTCTGACTACTGGGCAGTGGATTAGTTGGCTTCGAAGACTACCACTGAGATTGTCAAATGCCCACAAGCTTACTTCAGATATTATGGCATGCCAACATTTTCATGAGTGACAATGGCTCTCTGTTGCTTCATGAAAGATTGGGAAATTCAATACCACATATTATCTTCACACTATCCCCAGTCAAATAGAAAGGCACAGTGAAAATCAAAAAAAGAATCATAAAGAAATTCAGTAAATCCTACGTAGATGTAAACAAGGAAGTCATTGCGTGGAGAAACACACCTACTGAAGATATAGAATGTAATCCAGTACAAAGCTTAATGTCACACTGCACATAAACCCCACTTCCAATAGCAAAAGAGCTGTTGAAGTCATAAGTAGTAATAGGGGGTGAGTAATAAAATTGAGATAGCAGAAAACCAAATTTCATTTCAATAAGACTGTTAAACCATTACCAGAGTTGTGTATTGAAGATCCAGTCAGGATACAAACAAAGAATGATCTCAACAAAAGCCACCTTGGGAAGTGAATGACTAGATATGCTGTCATAATCACAGGCACGTACGCCCAACTGCAGAAATTGTTCCTTTACTGTAGGGGACTGATCAAGAAGAGGTGAATGCACGGTCTACACACATCACACATCAACCTTCTGGCAGAGAGGTCCACGCCAACCCAACAATAGAAATAGAACAACAGCTACCACAGCAACAACAATTGTTCAGGGATGATACTCCCCAGTGAAATAACATCAGACACATGAACAGCCGATAGCAGCACATACACATACTATTACATGGAGACTGATGGAAATAACAAACTGCCAGGGCATGCAAAGTGTACTGTATCTATTTGGTAACTTGGGGAACAAAAAATCTACATGATAATGTGCGCTTTTTGTTATTTTTTATAAAAAGGGGGATGTTTGGATTGAAATGCAATCATGTACAAATGTTTATCCTAGTCCTGACCTGTAACTGTGACCTCTAAAATGAGACATACACCCTGTAGGCAGACATCTTAAGCTTCGCTTCAAGACATTCTCCTGTTGAACACGCTGCTGTGTTGTACACACAAAAGAGTTGGGTCACAATGCTTCCTTCAATCCATTAGTTGTTGGAAATAGAAGTAATTTGAACAGAAAATAAAAGGAGGCATGCTTGAAAGAGGTTATTTAGGAAGAACAAAGCTCTTTTTTATTATAGACCAGAGCATTTTTCTGCATCGCTTCCATCCTTTGTTCATAATAGGCAGCAATCCTTAATTTACATTAAATTTAAAGAAATGATGATCTTGCTTCAGGCAGTTCAGAGTGCATTTTATGAGACTAAGTGAGCAGAATGCTCCTTGTGTCCTTGCCTGAAGTGAAGGGAGATGGGGTGGGGGGTGGGGGGTATGATGCAGGACACTACTACAGGGGCCTGCAGTTATTGTGTACTTAGCTACATGTAGAAATAAGAATCATAGTCTGACATGATCAAAACAGAAATATCTTAAAAACATAGCTGCTTCAGAAAATCATGTGCAACAAAAAAAAAGCAAACTGAAATGGATAGTTCTAAGAAACAGGACATTTATGCACAATGGCCTGGACCTAATTTAAACTTTCACTTAGTAATTTCTATACATTCCTAGTCCCAAAATGTTAGCAAATATAATTATTTTTTGTTGTATTTACATCATACTGGAATGCAGTTTACTTGGCAGATTTAAAATGATCCCTGTATTGTACACTTTGCTGTCACAATTGTATCCAATTCACAAATCTTCAATATTTCATCTAATAAAATCTAAACTTATTACAGCACTGTCATGCAGATTTTTGAAATGTCTCATGCAAGAACAGGATACTTTTATTATTCAATTAGTCTCTCTCTTATTATTGATGGTCATGCCTTTAGTGAACAAGAATTTCTGTGCAAAAGACAAACCTTTATTAGCACACGCCATCCATTTCAGATTTTCAGAAAATACAGCTTCACGTCCAATCAAATAGGCGAATATTCGCACCTGAAAGAACAGAAGGATACCTCATTAGATTTCTATTCTGTTAGATATGTTTAAAAACTTGATTACGAATGTAAAGCTTTATAAGATTATGTTGTGGGACTGTCTTTCTAATTTATGGTAAAATGGGATAATGAAGAGAGTAATGTTGTCCCTGAATTCTGATCATCAACAAGCTTGGGTTGCTTGGTTACTCGGAAGAAAGCCATGGCGCTCAGGGTGAAACTTATTGGGAGCAAGTGTAAAATGTTCACACCTAAACACAACGGCAAGAAATACTATATTGATTGGATACACAGTCTCCAAGTTAGCCAGGTATGAGAGAAAAAGGGAATTCTGTGTGAGAGAGACAAAGAATTGCAGTTGTTGCAGTGTGGTCAGCAGAAAGAAGAATTAGGCTGCAAGTTCTTCGGGATTGCCTATCAAATATGCAGGAATGGTCTGATTACTGATGTCTGAATCAGAATTCTCCATAAACTAAGAAAATCAACTTTTGATGGCCACTCAATGATACAACTGGACAAAACAGGGAAAAGTGAACACATTGGCAGCTGGAACTGCTATGCAAGGGGCTTATTCCTGTGAAGAGTGTTATTCTGTGGAGAATGGAGTGCCAATGGTGATGTGGTTTCTTGGGTCAAGCACCAATGTCAGTGTGCTACTATCTGAGTATTTGTTCCTTCATGTTTGTTCATGTAACATATACCACAAAGATTGGGTTCTTAAAGTTTATTAAGAACAGTGACAGTTTACATTGCTATACCATCATAAGCTTATACATTGTAGGGGTGTTGTACTTACTACTGTTACGGCACATTAGATACAGATAACTGACTGTCTGATCATATTTCACTACCTCCACTGCACTGAGAAAATGACTGTTGATGAGACAAGTACCTTTATACTGGAACATCATGTGGCATGATGTTATATAACTGTCTTAAAAGTACAAGTCTAGTTTGGAATCTATGCAATAACAAAAATAAGAGATAACAAGGTGTAGAGCTGGATGAACACAGCAGGCCAAGCAGCATCAGAGGAGCAGGAAAGCTTACGTTTCGGGCCTAGACCCTTCCTCAATAACAAAACATACCTCTTTTTCCCTTTAAAGACTGGGAAACTTTTTCATACAACATGTACATTAATACACACAGATTCTGGAGTTGAATTTTACCCAAAACCAGCTGCGTGTCAATTTTCGGGAGTTTCATGCGGAGTTTGTCTCTGCGAACTCTAATGAGTTTTCTCACACCATTCTCTGTTGCTTACCTCATTATTTATGCACCATGCCACAAAGGCACCACTCTCATGCTAGCTTGTACCCAACAGCAGCAGAAGTACTAGGTACTGCTAAGATTTTCTTGGATTCATGCTGCTGGGACACTGTTTAAATCCCAGCTACAAGGCAGGTGAAGCCAGCAAGTGCCATTCATAATGTGTTCCTGCACAATTTTAAGGGATATGGCTGAGAAAGGGAAGTCAACACATCCAGAGATCCCTGTTGATGAGGTGATGTCCTAACAGACAGAGTGGTGGAGAGAACAGGAGTCCACCTTCCTCAGGACCCTCAGAGGACAGGACAGCACCAGACCCTGCCAGCCTCATTTGAAGTTGCCACCCAGTTCAGTGCAGTGTCCAGAGTGTGGAAGAATGCCAAGCAATACAGGAGAAAGGTTATTGATGTTCCACACTTTGCCAGGCTTAATGCTACCATTTGCTTTGCCAGACTCTAACTCTGCTACTGCACCCACCTCTCATCAAGGCTCATGATCAACCACTTTCATAATTGCATGTAGCAGCTTCCCTCAATTACTTTCATACCCCTGCCCCCGCCGCCCCTCCAACACAACTAACCCTGCAGTTACTCCTCACTCGGACCCCTCAACACCTTCCCCTCACATAACCAGCTGAGCCAGCTACTTTCATCTCACCTATTCCCTCCGTTTGTTTCATTCCAGGAGAAAACAGCCCAAAATTGGGAAGACAGTACCGGGATGGGTCGTGGGGTGCCTGACATTGTCTCCATAACCTTTATAAGGCATGAATCCTTGCCCTAGGGGGAGAAAACTGTGACCACATAGGAGGTGATGTCGAGATTTCCATGCCGAACACCAAGTTAAGATTCATTGTTAACTCCCATTACTATCACTGTAAATGTATTTTTCACATGCCCAAACTTCTACCCCTATTTCACAATTCATTCCCTCTCTTGTCTTCTGCAGGCACCTGGGGCATGCACAGTCTCTGCCTTGTAAAGAACAGCCCTTCCAGCCAATACCTCCACTTCTGAGGAAGAAGTCACAGATTCCTTTCATGACTGTCGAAACCATCTTCTGTACCCTCCATTAGTTCAGATAGTTCAGTGGAGGAAGAGGATCTGGGAAGACATCGAGCATCTCAAGACTTGCTGTCGGGATAAAAAGTGGAAGCCAGGCAACAACAGTGAAAGGAACATGTTGCCACACCAATGCCCCACCATCCCCTTCCTGAGACCACCACCTGCCCTAAGTGTAACAGTGTGCAGTAGCTGCATCGTTCTGTACAGCCACCTATGGACTCACCCTGAGAGTGGAAGAGAGTCATCCTCGTCTGCAAGGGACCAACAGTGATGATGAGTTTAGACACTGCTCACATGCAAGTGTACCTTCGCTGGATTATAGTCAGGAGCACATTCTGGTGAGGTCATTATTGGCGCATCTCCCTGGCTGGTTGAGGAAGAAAGACTCGAAGACTCTTACACTCAGAGGAATATAGGGGACCAGGCACCTTCTCAGCCCCAGGCAAGAGAGGATCCCATTACATCGGCCATTAATAACTTCATCCAAATGCACAAGCAGAAACAAGAGCAGCAGGCAAGTTTGTTGGAGATAGTTGGGAATCTGAATCGAAGGTTGGAGGAGTTCACCGAAACCATCCATATTATAAAAACCGAAAGAACTGCGGATGCTGTAAATCAGGAATGTAAACAGAAGTTGCTGGAAAAGCTCAGCAGGTTTGGCAGCATCTGTGAAGAATACATCAGAGTTAACAATATTAACTGATATTTTCTTCACAGATGCTGCCAGAGCTGCTGACCATCCGCATTAGCTATCTCCAGGGATAGGTTGGTGACGGCCATGGAGACCCAGGTCCAGCACCCTCAGTGTCTGCTAGATATATACATGAACCTGCACTCCATCACACAGCTATTGCTGCTCAGGGCCAAGGCAAACAGGGAACAAGGGGCCTTGCCCCTTCCTCACAAGGACAGGGGGCTTAGGAAACAAAGGAGGAACCAAGACAGGCCCCTTAGAAGTCTCCTCTCATGACACTTCAGAAGTGCCCAGCCCTCTAATGCCACCTTGCTTGCATTTTGTAACCTTGTGGGGGTTCAGGCCAAGAAGAGTAAGCCTGTATCTGACCAGACCACTCTTAACATGTCTGGGCCCTTGACCCACTAATGCCCGAAAGGTTGTCCCATGAAAAACTTCAAACTGACAGGTTCTACTATAGGGCAAAATCCCTCCAGCCCAGGTGTGGACGCCAGAATTGCTTCAGAGATAGTAGGAACTGCAGATGCTGGAGAATCTG